CCCGCCCACCACCACCTGAGAGCACCCGCAGATGCGGGGCAGTTGAACGTGCTACCATGACGTGCTACCGAGGCGGACATGGCCTTCTCCTTCCCTGCCGCAGTCGAGGTTCCTCCCACCCGCCCACCACCACCTGAGAGCACCCGCAGATGCGGGGCAGTTGAACGTGCAATTTGTTGAATGGAACTGTTCCTAATGGTGGCTGCAAAATTGACAATGTATTTTATTCTTTTTACTGAATAGTTGAAAATGTTGACCTCTTAATGTTTTAATTTCATGGAGTGTTTAAGAGCAAAATAAATGAAATAGAATCTGAACCTCATCTTTAGAGAATTTTTATTTACGTAAGCTTTTACAAACAAAACGAATCAAACGTGACTTCTGTCAGGTATAAAACAACTTCACCAACCAAAGTTATAAAAACCAATTAAAAAACAAGTACAAAGATTTAAAACAAAACTTACACACGTTTGCAAAGGTTTTGTAAAAAGAATTAAAGGACACACTATGTAGGTTCATATTACATACCATGGATGAAATAACTTTTGCATGCAGCAAGAATCGAAAACGAAGATCCAAAACTATGGGAAAGCTTTGGAAAACAATTTCAAAGGATCATATTATGTTGATATGGCTTAAACATATGATGTCAGAATTTTGAAAAGTGATACTGATTTTAAACTAGACAACATTTAAACAATATTACAGCTGTCCGGTAGAAAATATCTTTACCAACCAAAGTTATAGAAACCAATAAAAAAACATAAAAGTGGAAACATTAAGTACAAAGATTTAAAATAAAACTTACACACGTTGGCACAGGTGTGGAAAAAGAATTAAAGGACACACTAAGTAGATTCATATAACATACCATGTATAAAGTACGCAAGCTGCAAGATTGAAAACAAAAATACAAAACTTGGACGTAATGGCATTAAAGTTCTGACATTTGACTTCAAAGATTCACATTATGTTGATGTGGCCTAAACATAAATTGGAGCATCTACAGCTAAACAAATATTGGGTTCAGTTGATGTCTTTCAAACTCCTGGCCACAATGTGAGCAGTTTTTCATAAACTTGTCGATTTGACTCTTTGAGTTAAGCCAATTGAGCATGCAATGTTCATGGGTCGTATGGCCACAAGGAGTGCTAAGCATCTTGCAGTTTGTGCTGATGTTTTTGCAGATGTTGCACTTAAGGCCAATGGTTGGTTCCTTTATCTCATCTTCTTCTGGCTTTTGGGTATTTTTCCTTGGCCTTCCCCTAGGCCTTTTCTGGGGTTGCTCCACTTTGACATTCTTCTTTAAAAATGTCAGTTTTGGCTTCTTTGTTGCTGTACCAGTTGCTGACTTATTCCCAGCAGATCCAATATTAGTACAGTTGCTGGTAGACATCCCCACCTGGGAGTGCAAAGCACTTGACCCATTCAGAAATTTCTTGAGATGAGGCACCTCGGGAGAAGTTTCTTCTTCCATGAAGTTTGACTGTTGGTAGTAATTCCCTCCCTGGCTGTTGTGGACAAAGTGGTTTCCCACCGCTGCCTCCGAAGCAGAAGTCACTGTAGCAGTCTTCTTAGATGCAAATGCTTTTTCAGCAGATCCAAAATATTTAGAGTTGTCGGTAGACATTCCCACCTGGGAATGTAAACCATTTGACCAACTTGCAAACTTCTGTGGAAGAGCAGGCTGGGAGGCAGTTTCTTCCATGAAGTTCATCTTCTGGTAATAATTACCTCCCTGGCTGGTGTGGTCAAAGTGGTTTCCTACCCCTGCCTCCGAAGCTGAAGTCACTGTAGCAGTTGTTTTCGATGCAATTGCTTTTTCAGCAGACCCAAAATATTTCGAGTAGTCAGGAGACATTCCCACCTGGGAGTCTGTAGCATTCGACCAACTTTCAAACTTCTCTGGAGAAGGCGGCTGGGAAGTAGTTTCTTCTATGAAGTTCGTCTCCTGGTAATAATCCACTCCCTGGCTGCTGTGGTCGAAGTGGTTTTCCACCTCTGCCTCCGAAGCTGTAGCCATCTTGGAATGCGAAGGAGTTTCAGGTGGGCCTAAATTTTTCGAGTCTTCAGACACCTGAGGATGAGCCGGGGCAAAGTTGAACTCATCCATGAAGTTTATTTTTCCACTTTTAGTAATTTGCTGGAGAGCAGTGAACAATCCTGAAAAAGTACAGAAAATGGAAACCATTACTTTAGCTGACTTATCCTACAAAATTCGTCACATTAACATTTCAAATACTACTTCAGCAGGGAGGATAACATAATGGGAGTCATACCTTCTATGGGCAAGATGACAAATGTCGGAGTCTTGGACTGAGGAATCAACAGTTGATTGCCATATACATCTGGAAAACACAGGGACCAAAGGGTTTAGCGTAAAAGTAATGGCATATAAGTAGACAGTGGAACTGGTAAGAATAAGCTAGAGCAAACTATTGAAACGAGAGGACAAATGAGAAAACAGAAGCATAAAACTGTTGTTGAAAACAGTGATAAAGGTGGCTAAATTACTTTCAGCATACCTTCTTTCCCGCTAGTCTGAAGCACTACTGAGGGCAGCTCAGTCAGTGGGCCGTATGGTACTTGCGTTGGAGGTTCTGACAAAGCAGGGCCATGTGGTACTGGCGTTGGAGATTCAGACAAAGCAGGGCCGTCTGGTACTGGCGTTGGAGATTCAGACAAAGCAGGGC